CCCCAAAACCCCAAAACCCCAAAACCCCAATACTCAGAAACAACAATGAAATAGTAAAAAGATATTTCTTCATGCTTAATAATTAAAATTTAATTACCTTCTAAAAACGCCACCGAACCAGCTCTTTGGCTTGTCTTGGGGAGAACTGAGAGGAGAAATAATATGCCTTGTGACAAATAAATGCTTAAGAAGATGCTGGGCTAAGTTGGCAACACCATCTCCAGTCTTAGCAGATACTTCAAAGTGGAAGTCAATTCCATTACTGGCTCTAAACTCAGCAGCAACTTCGAGAGTGACTTCTCTCTGATCTTCAAGGTCAGCCTTGTTGCCTACAAGGTAGCTTATCTTTTGGTCCATTCTGTCAGGTGGGATTTCATTCATCCAGGATTGGCATCTCTCGAGGGATTTTGCGTTAGTGATGTCGTAGATCAAAAAGATACATTCAACAGATTTAGCAAAACTAAGACCAATATTGTGAAATTTTTGTTGAGAAGAGATATCAAAGTTCCTAACACAGACTTGTCGGCCAAAGAATTCAGTTTTAAACGCTTCAAACTCGAATACAAAAGTTGGGTCTTGACATAACTGGGCTTCTTGATCAGCAATTTTTGCCAGTATTGAAGACTTACCAACTGCGTCTCCTAGAAAAACAGTGTTAGAGACTTCTATGATATCTCGGCTTTTGTCTGTTAAGGTATCCCTAATATGACGATTCTCAAGGTAAATCTTCTCGAAATTTCTATGAGCCTGGTTCAAAGCAAGGTAATCTTTTCATTGTTTTTCAGCGAAACTATTCTCCAGATAAGTGTTTTTCTTCTCAGATTCTAGCTGATCCTTAAAATATTCCTCATCGATCTCATTCGTGCAGATTTTCTGAACCTGACACTTTTGATCTGAATCTTCTGTTGTACTAGTCTCTAGTTCTACTTTCTTGATTTCTTCTAGCTCTTCAAACTTCTCTTTAGAAAATTCAAGTGAATTCACTTGAGCAGATCGATTCTCTATTGTAGCCTGAAAGCCCTCTGGTTTTGAAGCAGGCTCAGAAAGTGCCTTCTGAGAGTCAAGCACTTGGCTGTCAAACAGAAGTCTTAAAACTGGATTAGAGTCTTTTTGATTAGAGAATAGAGATCCATTAAAAATGTCTGACAAAATTTTCTTTCCTTGGTATACCAGCCTTGTGAGTTCTTCACGGTTATTGTGCAGAAGTCACTCATCAGCTGACACTTCTAGGACTGTGATAACTTCAGAAATATCTATCAGAGCTTCGTTAAGACCTTGTATTGAAGTAAATAAGTCATGTTGTTCAGCCCTAAATTCGAGGTCTCTTGAAAAGCTACGGAGTAGGTTGAGCCTCTCATGTAGCTGATCCGCTCCACAAATCTGAATTGAGTCTCAGTCATAATGTCTGTTCATGTAGCACTGGCTACATGTGACATAATCATGAGTCCCACAGTAGTACTCTGGCACTCAAGATCAGTTTTCAACCTTTCATTTCATCTGTTGGTCTGTCATTTATATTTATTAGTAATTTTATTCGATGCCTGCCTCACTTCTGGGGTTTTGGGGTTTTGGGGTTTTGGGGTTTTGGGG